TTGCATTTCATTCAGCCCTTCAGCCGTATCACCAGTGATGAATGTTGTAATTTCTTCACTTTAAGCCAGTGCCAAAATAAGAGACAAAGTATGTGATTAGCATTTACTAAACTGCAGTCTACTAAGATGTCGTTCCTATATCTGCAGCTGTGATTTCAACCACCCCTGACTGTCACCATTACCAACATACAGAGATTATACAGGTGCAGTGAACTGACACAGTTGTGTTGGATGAGGTTTGTGGACGTCTAAGCTCCTGGGATGTGTAGTTCTGTCCTATCAGACGGGAACACCAGGTTTAAATCCTGGCGTTAGTGTCTGCTCTTACAGCGCTGTACTGATGTAATCATTTCCAGAGTCAAGAAGGGATTTCAGCACTCAACACATGCTGTCACAGCCAGCGAGTGACACAGTGACTCATTTATTATTGACCTGGTTTACAAAAATCTCACAGATGACGACATATAATTAACATAACATTATAAAGTACATTAGTGGTGCATATTTAATCATTGTACAATATATTCAGTTGTCATTCCTTGAAAACCACACGGCTAATTCAGTAAACCTTCATAGTGAAGGTATATTCAAAATTATTACAAACAACAACATACAGTGGTTTGAAACAGCTCTGACAATAAAATACATTTCTGTGTAACTTCAGTGAAACAGTTTCAGTCATCTGGATAATGCACAGTCTGGATTGTGGCCCAGATCAGAGAGGTGCACAGCAAACTCTGAGTGCCAGTCTCTGTCAAACACCGCCTTGAGCTGGCTGTGCAGGGTTTCATTCTGCTGTGCGGGGTGAGGAGCATGCTGGGAAATCACCAGACCCACTCCAGCTGTGGTCAGAAAGTAGTCCCCTGACCAGTTGGAGGTACCTGGGAAGGAACACAGCGTTCTCTGGTTAATGATTAATTCAACTAAACACTGGGAAGGCCTATTTTTATTACCGTAAACTTTAAAATTAATATGCAGAAATGAAAAGCTGCTCACCGATGTAGGCGACTTCATCAGTCACCATGAATTTATTATGGTTGACTCTGGAATATGGAATGTCAGACTGGTTTCCCACAGGCACTATGTACAGCTTCTAAAACAAACAAAAAGAATGAATTAAAAAAGCAAAATTAAAATGAACTGCAGTGACAAAGATGTTTATTCCATCTGGTGTCTTACTATCTGGATGCTGACGTGACGCTGAGGAAAGTCCATGGAGGCCAGAGACTGAAGGAAAGGCAGCATGGCAGGATCAGAGTCTCTCCCGCAGCTGATCAGCATCCTGAACTTCACCTTCCTCTCGAACGCCGCCGTCCTGATGGCATCGTCGATGACGGACCAGTATCTGCTCAGTTAAAGTAAACGTTCTACAGTGAGAAGGTGGAATAAAAGAGATGCGTTGCAGGTGGAAGGACAACGGAGGGTTACCTCTGAGGATGGTCAAAGCGTGTGATGGGGAAATACTCCATGACAGCAACATCAACAAAGTGCTGAGCCTCTGAGATGATGGAGAGGATAGCCTCCAGGTCCTGAGTCCTCGACGGAGGACAGAACGAGGGTGGAGACGCCTGAGAGGAAGCAAGAATAATAAAACAACAACAAATAGTTCATAAATGGCTAGAATGTGTGATTTTTATGTTTCTGATATTCTTGTTCACAGAGAGTCACTGGATTTTCTGACCCGAATATTTAAATCAATCAGGTAAAACTGCATAATTAATAATATCGTGGGGTCTTAATCTTAATATTTGAATTAGTCATGTCATTGGCACATTGTAAAGTCCTAATATGAATATTTAAATTAATCAGTCACATTTGAATAATTAATAATATTATACAGATTTAACCTTAACACCTAAATGAATTTGCAGAATTAATAATATTGTTAAAAATATTTTGTATTTAATTCAGTTAGTGAGGAAATTTGTTTATAATATTGTGAGGTCATAACCTTCATATTTAAGTGAATTAGATAAATTCCATCATTAATATTACTGTGGGTTTCCAACTTGATTATTTAAACTGAATCATCTTAATTTGCATAAACAATAATACTGTAGGGTCTTAACCTTTATATTTGAATTCATTTTGCATTTTGTTAAAGTAACAGTACTGTAGAGTCCTTCCCTTGATATTTAACATAGTCAGATAAATTTGCATAAATTAATAACATTGTATTGTCTTTGCATTAATGTTTATATTAGTGAGGTAATTTGTTAGCATATATAATATAGTTGGCTCCTAAAATGAACATTTAAATTGTTAATGGGAAACTTGCATAATTAGAATATTTTCTTAACCTCAATAGTTTTAAATTAGTAAAGTAAATTTGTATTTTATACATTATTTAAGGGTCATAATCTTAATATTTCTCTACTAACAAGCACTTCAGTTCACTTCGGTTTCAATGTTTTTATATAAATAATAGTTACATGACCTGATGGGACAATTAAGATTTTCTCTTTTTGCCTGAATCATTTTACATATATTCACTCATTCATTTAATATTAACATAATATGTTTTGCATTTTTGCTTCTGTAGCCTTTTTGTTTTAACTTTATCTTAATAGTCAGGTTGTTTTCTGGGGGTCCTGCTTTTTCATTGTCTGTCCAAGCGCTTAGTAAACCTTGTTTTTAGAAGTGTTATGTTAATAAGGTTATTTTTATGGTATTGATGATGTCATAAACCCTGAGTTCTGTGTGTGGCGGCTGTCCTGGCTGGAACTGTAGCTGCTCAGTCACTTCTCTGTAAATGCAAACAAAAGCTCTTTGTCTATCAAAACAACAGCTTCCAAGAAAAAAGGAAGAGAAACTTTTTAGGAACTCACTGAGAGGTACAGGCTGCTGGAGACGTTGTCTTCTTTCACCAGCAGGGGGTGATGTTTGTTGATGGTGGTGTCATACTTGGCAGGCCAGGGCTGAGGCAGGGAGCTGTTGGACTGGCCCATCACCCAGTAGGACTCGAAGATCTTATGGAGGTCCTTTGCCAGACTGGAACAGTTGTACACCACCACCCCCAGTTCCTTCACCTACAGTCAAGGGTGACTCGTGAAATACTTTTGTAGTGTTTTACAGTTGAAAACAAGCCCTTATATTTGTGTTATTGAGGTTCTACCTGTGTTAGAGCCCTCCAGTCCATGTTGGCGCTTCCAATAAACACGTGTTTTCTGTCTACGATCCAGAACTTGCTGTGGAGGACGCCTTTCGTCAGGCGCCCAAAGTTCACCCTCCTCACCTCAACTCCTACAGACAGCCAGAAAACACATGTAAGGGAACGCAGAGTGAAAGCGCGCTACAAACCGGAGAGTCATTTCCTAACCTTTCTGCTTTAAGATCTCTAAATCGGTGGAGTTTGTCCTGACTGTGGGAACGCTGGTCACCACTCGGACGGACACGTTCCTGGAGGGCAGCTCTCCGAGTTCCTTCAGGATGTCTCTTCCCTGCCGAGGACAGACGGACACTGTTCAAGACGTTCTTTCACAAAGCATCAGGTTTAAATGTGATTATGTTTTCATGCATTTCTTTTTACAGCTGACTCACAGGCTTGTCAGAGGAAGAGTTAACGTTGATGTCTTCCCCAGTTAACGTCCAGTAGAAAGAGGCCACGTCCACTTGGTGCGTTGCCACGGAGATAAGATCTTTCCAGGCCTCCACCAGTGGGATCCCGAGCGTTACGTTGGCTTTAAATTTCATATGTTGAGGAATGCTCTCCACAAGGGTCATACTGGAGGACAGAACAAAGACATCCGCTGAAGGAATTCTTTGAAGAGCGAACTGGAGAAAAACGAAAAACCCTGAAGCAATTGAAAGTGGCTCATCATCAGGTCAGCTGATGTGGAGGTTTGACGGATTCATGAGATGTGAACTACATGGCTCAAAAAAGTTGAAGAGAAAAGATGCGCAGCTTAATATAAGTATTTAATAGATCTATTCAAAATAATCATAAATCAATTTGATTTGATTTGATTGTTTATTTGATGCGGACATCACATCTACACTGGACAAACCAGAGGCCTGTCATGTGCTGTTTTACAACACTTGTCCACAGGAAGCATTTGCAATGATAAAAATAGTAAAAGTAATAGGAGAAGAAAAAAGAGAGAGAAAAAAATACAGTGTACAATAACATTACAACACTAACAGTGAGGAAGTGTATCATATATGTAAGCCACAGAGCAAAAGCGACATCATCAAGCAGTTAAAACTGTTCATGTGAGCACTGTTGTTTTGATTTTGTTTGAGTTCTAAATCAAAGGATAATTAAGATTAAACTTTATGAATTAGTTTAGTTTAGTCCCAGCAGAGCCTCTCTCCCTGCCAGCATCCTCAGGACGTTCTACAGAGGTGTGGTGGAGAACGTTCTGACATCTCAGCATGGTGCTCCAGCTGCAGTCTGTCGGACAAAAAAGTCCTGCAGAGGACAGTTAGAGGAGCTGTGAGGGGCATCAGAGCTTCCCCTCACCTCTGTCCAAGAACTTTTCCAGAGCCGCTGTAGGAGCAGGACCCTGAACATGGTCGGGGACTCCTCACACCCTCTCCATGAACTGTTATCATCAGGCCAACGTATCTGGTGCATTAAAGGAAGAACCTCCAGAATGATTGACAGCTTCATGACACAAGCTGTCAGAATGCTGAACTTCTGATCCAGATATGCAAACACTTCTGTATTTAAATTGCTTTACGTTATTGGATCCTGAAGAAACGCTCTCTCATCTCACCTGTACTACTGTGTATGTACAGCAAAATTACAACAAACTTGATCCGATCTGATTTAAATCCTGACAGGTTACAACATCCAAAGCATTTAACAGCTAATTTCTTGCATTCTAGTGAACACTTATGCACCAATTTGGGCTTTTACGGCATCAGTTTAGGGTGGAAATGCCTTTATTTTTGTACAGGAAATGCAAAATTCCAGCCCAACAGGGAAACATTACAGTAGTTTTCCAAAATGCATGCTTTCTAAATATCAAGGGGGATGTGGTTGAACAGTCTTTTCAGCCAATCAGGCAAGCCTTTAATTCAGCCACTTTCTGACCTTAAACTTGGTTTATATAGGATTATATAGGATTCCTACCTGCACTGGTCAACAGAGCTGTTACTCCCACCAGCGTCCTGTGGAAGCGTCTCATGGTCTTTGGGGGCTGGCGGTCTCTCCAGCACGGCGATGGCAAGCAGAACCCCGAGGACCGTCAGACAGCCCAAAACCACAGCTAATGCTATGCAGCTGGTCGACCTCTAACAAGTTTGGGCAGGAAAAAGAGTTTTTGAGAGGAAGAATAAAATAATCTCACGAAACAGAGCTGCAGTTGGGTTCATGTCTGACGCAGCCTCACCCTTTTGTTTGGAACGTAGCTGTCATGAAGGCTCTCATACCCAGAGTTCATTTTTCCTCCCTTTTCAAGTATCTATTAAAGATCAAAAGCAGGATATTTTCGTCTCGGATGGAGAACAAACAAGATCGTTCAACTCCGACCGCACTAATGACAGCTCATAATTTTGCAGCTGAAATGGTTTGAATGCCAGAATGTGTTTGTTTCAAAGCAATAAAAGAGAAAGCAACTCACAGAAAGCAGACGCAGCCACGTTTCTTCTAGTAAGAGCTCAAAACAAATGTGATTCTTCCCCCTCTAGCTTTCACCCGAAACTGAGCTGAAGCGATATCTCTGCTGCTGAATATATCAGAGCACAGTTCCTGTTTTTACTTTCATTTCTGGCTTGTGAGGCATGTATTTACCCAGGAGAAAAAAAAGAAAAAGAAGTGCAGTGAGAGAATACAATAGAGAAAAAATCCCCCAAATAAAACAGGTTTGCTCAACAAATTTATTTGAAAATATCTGGAATCATCATCATCTATAAACTTACACAAACAACCAAACATAAATACCAGCTAACAAATTACTAGCAAATCATTTGGGGGGGCGAGAAGGAGGGGAAACAGAAACTGAATATCAAAAAAAAAAAAGAAAAAAGGGGGAGGACACAAATTTGACACACAAGATTTAAACTTTAGCTCTCCGATCTTCTCCCACTGTAACTGTGTTGGAATAAAGCAAAAGGGGAAACACTATCCCATAGAAAATGAATAGCAGCAATTCGTTAAGAAAGAAACATTCAATTTTTTTGCTCAAGCTTGTAAACAACCACTTTACTTGGGCTGCATGAAATATCATCCCACACAGCTATGTGGCACTTGTAGGTACTTCCCAGTTACAATCACACGTACAATCTGGACTGGGAAGAGGAGAACGAAAAAAAAAAGAAAAACTTGCTGGTGTACTGGGTCGCCTTTTTTCCCTGCTTCGGTATAAGAAGCTTACAATCTTTCACAGGAGAGTAAAAAGCTTTCAGTTCGCAGCATTTCAGGTTGTCGGGACAATGTTGTACTACCTTTAGTGCAAAGATTTAGAGGTAATTCATAGACATACAGGTATCTTTAGACATTTACACTCATCGACAGAACTAATAATCAAGATTCACACAATCAACACAAATGCTAAAATTACATCACGTCTCCTGTCATGTGAGGACTCCGCAGAAGTGAAATTGTGACTCAAGAGACCGAGGAAATGTCCAGCTGTTACCGCAGCGCTCTGAAGAGCTCGTAGAACAACAACCATATGGAAGCTAGATGTGGTGAGCTCAGTGCAAACACAGATAAAGGAGGCTTGTTGTTTCATGATTGTCTTTGGCCAAACCCTCAGAGCTGATTGCGTTCTTTGGGCATGGAAAAGCAGGTTTTTTTTAAGCTCCCAACTGAGTTTGACGTGAATAAAAATACGCTTTTCAAAAGGCAGGAATGATTGGAAACTCCCGAGCTGTGTGTTACAGCCACCTGACTGTGTGACTGTGAGGTGGACACACTACGGAGTTGAGCCCCTCCTCCTATTCAGACCGCACATTCCTGAAGGATAAGGACAAAACAGGTAGAGTCCATCTACTGAGGAGAGAAATGTTACCGGGGCAAGGACACACAAAATTGGCTTGTAGCAACTGTGCAATATAACAACAACTAGTCTGGCACAAGAGGCCACTGACGCTCTCCCAAAGCCGTGTCGTGTCAGCTACAAAATACCACAGCGTCTCACAAAAGAGCCCTAATAAATACTTTTTACAGTCTTTCTATAAATCTGGTCCACACAGAGGAACGTGGCAAACAAAGACAAAAACACGGGAGAGAATATATAAAGAAATGCAGCGGGGTTACCGAGGACACGAGGTCACAGAGAACTATAACTGGAGGTCTTTCTACTCTCAAAACAAATATCTACGAACTAATATTTCCTCCAAAATATGATTTGTCACTCAACACAAACAGTTGATGTATTTGTAGATTTCCCTGAGATGATTATGCTCAGGCTGGTTTTCACTTAAACCAAATAATTACAATGAGCTGTTTTAAAAATCTGGTCGTATCATTGGCAAACAAAGAGAATCAAGTATAGCTTTGTAGCGCTTTAGAAGTGAAGGTGAGATTTACTGAACTATTACAGTACTTCCTTAAATCGTCACCTCGTATGCAGGCCTCCCACTCAGCGTGTTTTAAGGGCGTTTAGTGCAGGCGTCACTGTGTATTCACACCACCGTGCAGGTGTGTAGTGCTCACAGCGCAGTAGTGCGTATGTTAGGATGTGTGAATCCAGTCTCACTTCCCCCCCTCATTTGTTTCATTTCACAACAGTCCAGCACCTGGGTTTGTGGAGTTATAGCAGAAGTTCTGCGCTGGTGTGTTTGTGTCAGATCTCAGACTAAATATCCCTCTCGGAGATCGTCTGGGGTCACAGCTGCTCTCCTGACGCTCTCGCTGGGCCTCGGGCCACCGCCACGCTTGGTAACAGAGTGAATTGTTCTCCAGTCCCGTGAGGAAGCAGGTCTGGAGGACCGAGCTCCAGACGAGGAGGAGGAGGATGAGGTTTTCGTAGCTTCAGGCTGCCCGCTGGGTTCCATGACTGTGTTGATGACTGAATTGAATAAAGAACAGACAAGAAATTAGCTACCAGCTATTATCTTAACGATAAAAATGATCTAAATGTTATCTGTGATGGACTGGAGCTGCTCACCCTCGAGTTGTCTCTGAACTCTCCTCAGTTCTTTCAAGATAGTTGTGATTTCCTGAAATACAGACACTTGGCTTAGCTCAAACAAACAGCATTAACTAGCGTACATTTTGCTGAAAAGTGACCAAAAAGGAAAACACACTAACCTTGTTGGAAGTTTTGACAACAGGGATGTCATTTTCAGAATTAACCTTGGCTTCAATTTCCTCCCAGATATCCACCCTGTCCTGGAACAGTACCCTGTGTGCACAAAACCAAGCACGGTGGTGAACTGACAGTGTTTTTTAAAAAGAGGATGAGCTGAACTTTTGTGTCCACAACATTGCTGATACAGTCTAGAGCCTCTTGCAGCATTTAACTCTGGCTAAAATAAATCAAATCAAAGCATGCTTGATATCTTGTTATTAGTACATGAGCACCAGAAAGAGAACAACACATGGCTACATCTCACAATGGAAACTGTTTTCATGTGCGTCTAATCTACCCAGAAGATTAGATCTCTCTCCTCTCGGTCTCATATTGTCAGACGCACAAACTGTCTGTGAGCTGACTCATTACGTTACACTAATTAAATACGATTACATGCTTAGTGCGGTCTGGTTGTCAGACAGAATCAATGAAGTTTTTCATAAAACACCCATTAAGCCGGGGGATGAGAGGCGTGTATGTATTTCATGTCTGCTTGCTTAACATCTTACTTAATTTTGTCGGCAAGTTGCTCCGTGTTTTCTCTGATGGCCACGATGACCTGAGACACTGGATTCAGCATCAAATTATCCACGACGGCCTGCAGGAAACAATACAACACTTTGTAATGATCCACCGTCACAGAGGTTTTTAAAAAACACGAGGCCAAGCAGCACACATAGTGTCAAACCTCGTCTCTGCTTGGAGCTCGTTGCCTGGAGTGCTGTTCGAGGTCACTGGAGCTCTGGTCGGGTTCCCTCGTACGCGCAGAGCTTGGGGGGACTCTCTGGTAGTGTAACCCAGCCTCTGGGATATGCTGAACCAGCTTGAACACAATCAGACTTCACAAGTTAGTCACAGGGGACACAGCGGCAGAGTGAGACATTTATTTGCTCACTTGAGAAATGGTGTTATAAAGGTGTTTAATGTTAAACTTAAGTTACGTAACTGCACTAGATGTGTAATTACTTGAAAGATGCTTCCTATTTCAAGAACCAACTTTAGGTTGAATCACTTGGTCAAACAGATTTAATGCTTGTGTTATATATTATAATCCTAAGAATTACGTTTGATGTACCTTTTGGTCTACAAGAACACAATCATGCACATCTTTGTCCGCTTCAGTCGGCCGTTCACCCACCTGATTCTTTTCTTTACTTTTAAAGAGAACAAGTCACGCTGCCCGATTTGTTAAGTGGCACTTTATGGTATTAACAATTTAGAGGATCGATAAAATAAGTGAATAAAAAGCAGGAGGATATTAAAAGAATAAAACAAAATGATAAACAAAAAAGCTACAAAAAATAATCTAGGGAGAGCCTTTAGTTTATAAGAATATTTCAATGATTGGACTTCAAGTGAATCTGAATTTCTCAGGGTGTCCTCGCAGCAAAACTTTCATTTTCTCAAGTTTTAGAAAAAACATTCGATCCCTTAGCCACATAGGAGAGCATGATGATTTCTCCTAAATGCCAAAAGGATGAAGGAAGTAATCATATTTCTGATATTTTTCACCTTGAACACCGAACATCCAGATCCAGGTATTTGGGTAAGAGATTCTAAAACTTTTAATTTTGTACCCAGTCATTTACCAAACAGAAAGAAAACATGTGAAAGATCTGCTGGTGAGTTGTAACATCTGGTGCAGCTAACCACAACTTTTGAACACATAAGTTTTGATTCAGTAATGTTGACACAGTAACTTGAATTGTAATTTATTTAACTGTGAACAAGATGAGCTTCTGTTAACATGTTTGGCGTACCTGTTCGTGAGCGGTCACCGTGGAGACAGGTGCACTGCCCTCCTCTCCAGGGTTTTGTGGCTCACCATCGGTCGCTACATCGTGGATCTCTCTGGCCAAGATTGCTAAGTCTTTGGCTAGATCTTGACTCAACCTGGAAGTGAGGAAGCATATATGGTAAGAGCAAGAAATGGAGACAAAAAATGAATGTAAAAGTCATTTTTCTTTATATCGATGCTCTGCAACAATACAGAACAAACTAAGAAACACCGCTGCCAATCTGGACACCTCTTCTGCAGGAAATTGGAAGCAGTTTAGTGTTCCATTGCAATAGTTTAACTAAGTCATATTAGTGTCTTATTTATGATGGTGTTGGCTCCCGAGTCACACAAGTGTAAATAAAAATATACTGCAAATAAATGCTTAGGGCTTTCTGTCAGTGAGGCAACATAAAAACACAGATTGAATTTGTGGAAATCAAAGGGATCTAGAGCAGAAAGCCTCAGTTTCTGTTATTTCTTACCGTGCAATCTCAGCACTGTGAGAGGACCAGTTTTGGAAGGCCTCTCCCTCGTGGTTCTCATCTTCAGAATCTCTGTTGCGTGATTTCGGACGCATGGCAACCACCGGCAGTGATCGAGGCTGATGACGTGGGCTATAAGAGGCTGGGGAAGGTTGGGAGCGTTTGTGTTTAGGAGTGCTCTGGTTTGAGTCGTACTCTTCATCTGAGGTAGAGGTATAGTCAGAGCCTTTCTGTCGCCTCCTAGAGCCTTGGCGTTGTGAATTGGTTTGAGTTACGGAAGGTGAGGATAGAGAAGTTGGGGGAAAAAAACAGGAGAGAAAAGAAAACACCATGAAAGAATACTGCCGAGAAAAACACCACCAATTATTTCCAGTGGAGTCACCAAAACATTTCCCAAAACAAGAGACAGAAAATATGCTGTGGAAGCCCTCATCTCCACATTTATAACTCATTTATTGTTTTTTTAAGGTTCAAAATTACTCACAAATGGAAATGAGCACTTGACTTCCACATTACAGTGTCAGTAGTACCAGGTAGGGACCAATTAGTAAAAAAAAAATAAAATAAAAAAACAACCCCTGAAGAGTACCATGAGTCACATTATGCTAAGTAAAGGGCCAGTATGGTTAACGCTCTGTGGCCACAATACCCTGAAAGCATGATTACACATAAAAACAAGATTATAATCATCATATTCTGTATAATTACAGTGTGCAGATGAAGGAAATAACATTTTATTTAAAGGTTTTTCAGTGTTAATGTTACGGATGTTAGTGAGAGCCCAGAGTGAGTTCCCTTCCCACGAACAGCTCTGGGTTGATAAAATAAAGCTGCTCAAGTCCAGAACTGATGCATCATTTCCTGACAGACAGTTTAATAACTGACTCATACCAGTGTTTCAAACCAGTTCACCACTGTAGGACAGACTTCGTCCTTCTTTTCTACAAAACAGGACCGACTAAAACTGGGTGTAAGGTTACAGTAGTCAATATTTTTACTCAAACAGGTATGTATGTGTTTGTATGATACTCACTTGCTGTGCTGCTGGCATATTTGGCACTGCTGGAGCGTCCACGAGTGATCGGGGTTTTGCCGAGCGCTGCTTTCTGTGGCCTTTCTGCAGGCTTTGGCCCCGAAGCAGAAGCCCTTCGAGTGGAACTGCTGCCCGACTCTGTGCTACGGTTGGAAAATCCTGAGCTCCTGCCTGTCCACTGCGGGGTGGATGAGGCCTCGGTGTCGCTGGGTGTGTTGAACGAGCTAGTCCGCTTACGAGGCATGGCCAGCATATCCAGCCTGGAAAGTTTCTTGGCTTCCTGAGGCTGCTTAGGCGGGGCGTTGGCTGCCTCCTGGGACAGCCTGTCTGTCTCTGTGCCCTCGTTGTCCGAGGCCTCTCCCAGGCGAGCCCGACGGAGCATGGAGGCCCTGGTAGGTCTTGGGGCTGACAAGCTGTTGGCACGACTTAGGGCCTGGGACACTCTGGTGGTCTTGCCGTCCTCCTTCTGAAGGGGCACGGTGTACTTCTTGCGGGTTTGGTGGTTGTTAGACTCCTGATCAGAGAAGGGTAAACTCTGAGGGTCGTCGCTTAGATCTGTGGAGCCACATTTTCCCACACTACGTCTCAGACCAACCGGCCTCCTGACAGACTCAGTCTTGTTCCTGCTGTCTGAGCCCAGAGAACGGTGCTTTTCTGATGATGTGGACTGATGATTTGAGTCCTGACTCGCTATGCTAGCTGAAGACCTCTCTCTGTGGAAGCCACTAGCAGATGTTTTTTTCGTCAGTGTGTTCGGCTTGGTCTTATTGCTGTGCTGGCTGACTGTGCTGGACGTATCCACATCAGACTCCCCAGAAAGAGAGTCCATTATGGGAGACGGAGTGGGCCCTGAACGTCCTGCTTGGAGTTTGGCCTCTAGAACAGCCAGGACGTCCTCCGTCTCTTTGAGGAAAGAGTGGGTGTCCTGACTGTTGGCTCCCTGAAACAATTCAGGGTCTGGATCTCTTTGTAGAGGCTGGCTAGAGATGTTGGGGAGTCTGGCATTGCTGGGCCGCTCCTTGGTGAAGCTCTCCTGTCTGATTAACGGGGAGCCCTCCTTCAACTCTGGACTCCGTGTCCCCTGTCCCAGTACAGGAGCCGATACAGTGGGCTTTACTTTTCCAAACTCCTGACTGCCTCTCTGTTTAGTCAGAGTGGCCGTTGAGAAAGTTTTGACTACATGTTTTCTCTCGACCTTCGGCGTGCTGGATTTTGAGCCTCCACGCTCTGCTTTGGACACCTCGTCCTCCGAGCCGATGTAAAAAGACGTAGACTTGGCTGGTACTCTGAGCTTCTCCTCAGTTGGCTTGTCTTCTCCGTCTGACAGCGGCCTCCTCCTCTGCTCTATGATGGATCCATCATCAGACTTGCTGGCGTCACTCAGGCTGTCAGGCTCCACGTCATCCTGCACTGTTAACCTGTGAATGCTGTCTTGGGAGCTGGGGGCCACCAAGCTACCGTTTCCTACATCAAACGTTGAATGCGGGTCATAGTGAACATGAATGCTGGGAGTTGGAATGTCACACTTGTCCCCCGGTGGCACCTGTGGCAGGATGCGACGGGCTTTCGAGCCATCCGAGTCTGTGCTGTCGTGGTTTCGGCTGACTGTGGCCTTGTGGATGATTGTGGCTCGCGCTGAAGTGGAACAGTTTTAATGCATATTAACCACACATACTGAAACTGAATATCATTCATATTCATCGGGGAGTCTCATTATCATTTCAAATAGACCAATGTCTCATCAGGTGGCTTACCTCCTCCTGACAGTTCCATCTGGGGAGGGATGTCAAAGAGGCCAGACGAAGGGCCAGATTCTGTGTAGCTGTCTGCCAAGCTGGCCCAGCAAGACATCCACTTAGGAGCCCCCTGCAACACAGCACCTGCTGACTGAACCTGCATGGGGAAAAAACACAACTTATTCAGGATCGTTAAATTAAAACCTCTTGAAGAACGCACAGTAGACAAATTCTGATTTCCTTAGTTAAAGGTCCCATATTGTTTCCTTTTTCAGCAAATGAATCAACGTCTTACAAGTTTCCACAGTGTGTCTTTTAGTTTTTAGCTCAAAATACTGCATGAATGGATCCCTTCAACATGACAGTACAGCCAATGATTTCAGGGCTGTTCTAAAAAAAAAAAAAAAAAAAAATCAATGAGCTGCTGCTGTTCACGCCCCCTTCAAGAAGATTACACTGGAAGACTACTGGTTAGTTAGGTGTTACTGGGAGGCTAACTAGTTGTAGGGGGCTTGACGGATGGCACAAGTAAATGTGTTAATATCTCAACAACTTTTATTTTACACTCACAAGTTTATAACAAAAAACAAAAGCACAAGAAAAATGTATTTTCACAATATGGGACCTTCACATTAACTTAATATAACAAAAAAACAGAGATCAGTTAGTTTCAAGACTATGTGTAGTACAACTGCTATTCAAATATAGATTTTGCTCTTTCAGTTTGGTTAGACAGAAAAGCCAAAACTATGATGAACCCAAAACCTGTGAGGAAAGAAGAGGCGAATCAATAAATCTAAAGAGACACCGAAAAAGAGAGGAAACACCAAGGAGGGAAATCAAGACAGCCATGCATGCTGATTTGTGCATTTACATTTATGGCTTACTGACCCAAAATATTCATTAATTGTCTTTAGAACTGGTGTTAAAATTACGTATTATTACTCCATTCATCAGTCCCACCCTGAACAGGAAGGTTTACCTTTACCAGACCCTGTCCCTGCCCTGGAGCTGGTCTCACCTCCCCACTGCTACTCTGCCTATGCTGCTCCCTGCCCTGAACAATAACAGGCCTAAATGCTGACGGTGTTTCTGCTTCACTCAGGTTCGTTCGCTCAGGACTCTCAACAACACCAAACACCTGTCAGGAACAAAGCATTGCAAGTGGATAAGTGCAAGGACTGAGAAAGTGGGACTGCTAATGTCCATGGCTCATTCTGACCAGGACTTTGTTCCAAGAAATAGAGGCGACTAGTAAACAGCAAAACCAGATTTATTTTAAGCAAAATGTTTTGATTTTTTAGCCATAAGAAATTTTCTTTAGGACGAAAATAAATGAGATCAAACAACTTGCCTGGTCAATCTTACTCCGTGCATCCTCCAGTTCTTTATCTTGAGCTTCTGTTTCTATGGTGTAGGTTCCAGCGTCACTCAGACTGTCCTCCTCTTCATTTCTGGGGCCACCATGGGGGCTCTTGACTTCCACAGTTGGAGATGCCAGAGGCATGACAGGAGCTTTGAGGGGAACAGGCTTGTGGATAGGGGAGGAGGTTTGAGGTGGGTATGGGCCATCAGCTTGAGGAGGGCTAGTAGTACTCTGATCAGACTGTGATACTGCCACTTTCTCTGTTTTAGCTGCTCTACTAGAGGTATTTTTATCCCAGCTGGCAGATAAGTTCTGCTTTGCTTGTTTCAGAAATTCTGCAGTAAATTCCTGGGCGAGTTTAGATCTCCGGCCCACGCTGCTGAAGGGTCTTGTAGACACGGATGAGGAGGAGCGGGAAGAAAAGCCTGTGCTGATTCGATCTTCTGTCTTTTCCCTTCGTAGAGAGCCAGCTCTTTGAGGTCCTGTGGGAGCAGGGCTCTTGAGGGGGATAGTGTATCGTTGGGTTGGGGGAGTTGTGGTGGGTGGAGGTGGGACTTGTCTCTCTCCAGTTGGGCTTGAGCTCTTCTTTGCCTTCTCCAGCTGAAGTCTGGGGCCTGAGGACTCTGGTGGGGTAGTGTTATTGGTGAAGGACTGGGAGCGCTTCTTTCTTGGGTTATCATCAAAGAATTCAATGACAAAAGCTTGGTGGGGCTCTGCCTTGCCAAGACTGGAAAGGGACTGAGACTCTGGTGGAGAGTAGGACAAAGGTTCCTCAGAGTCAGGGGAGGCAAAGCGTTGTGGTGGGGAATTTCTAAGGGTTTGTGGGGAACCCTGGGATACATTCTGAGGCCCTGATTGGAGAAAATCCTGTCTGCTGATTGTAGGGTGTCCTGAATCACTGTGAGAGCCATCTTCATGGTGGTTTGCTGATGGCCAAAGAACAACAAGCTATCAGTTAGCACACTATTCAAACTAAAGCTTTATAAACATACAAGACACTGTGTAAGAGACTCACCCTTGGTGCTCAACATAAGTGATGGGTCACTGTTTGTGCTATACAAGTCTTCCCCTTGTGACGACCTCCTCATCATGCTAGCGTTGCTTTGGACCAGCCAATCAGCAACTTTGCTTTCGGCTGACAGCATTTCGGTAGGTGTGGTAGCAAGCTCTATTGAAGAATGCTTGCGCTGCTGGCGGAAAGAAAACTTGGTCACATGGTCCTTGATCTTCATTCTACCTGGCGTACAATCATCAAATTCAATGGTGAAGGAGGCATGGCTTTGGACCACAGGGGGAGTGGGAGTGGAGGAGACACATTGGGTGGGATCTGGGGTGTCCTTTGTGGGAACCTCATGAACCTGCGAGTCCAGTTTCTTGGTAGGTCGCTGTTGGAACTCCTTTGTTGGGATCTCAAAGTAGCTGGGCTCCCGGCGATAGGAGAAGATGGATTTGGCTTGACTGTCCGACAGAGACCCATTGACCTCATATCTGGACGCGTCTTTAGCAGGCTCTGTTATCAATAAAGTGGGAAAATGACAATAAATACACATTTATATATATATACAAGGAGATATAGTGGCAGTCCTACATAATCTCCTCAGTGCATGAACTAAAAATATATAAAAGATCTAAAATTATAACTAAGTGACTCAAACTTACAAGTACTCAAAACTATAGAATCGGTTAGGATGTCATTGATAAATAATTCCTGAAAATAGGAGCCACAAATAACATCAGGGTTCCAGCTGTTCGGCTGCAAACACAAATCCTCTGGTTGGTCTTTGGATGCCAGTTGGATGTGGCCAAATATCACTTTAGGAGCTCAGAGTCCAGTGGAGGGTAGCTGAGCGGGAATAATCTGTTTCAGTCTGGGCAACATGAGGAGAACAATCACCATTCCTCCCCCCCTCCAGGAGCTTAGAGGGTCATAATCCATCACGAGGCAGACAGGCACTGCCCACTGGCCTGGCATGGTATGGTCTGGCCAAGAGTCCACAACTGGCAGCCAGAGACCTGCCTTGGGCTTAACACCATCCATCTCTCGGTGACCCACAACGAGCATCGCATAGCAGTGCCACAAAAAGCTTGTCATTACAAATTAGGATCTAATTCGCAGATGTGGGAATATCAAACGCAAATATAGCACAAACAGCTCTGCAGAACAAAATATATGTTACTTTAAAGATAAGACACACTTCAGGGTAAATACATAAAGTCAGTGGATCATTTGCATAAAAATATAAGACACAGTCACTGACCTGGAGATTCCTGCTCTGGCAACTTTCCACCTCTGCTCTGTTTTTTGTTGGCAGGGTCCTCATCCTCCCCCCACCACGACGGCTGGCCATACAGGGGAGTAGGCTTGGATATCGGAGAATCTGTGGCAGCTAGCAGACAAACACACAAACACAGGCATAAGCAAAGACCCACACACACCATCAGGCACATAATATACTCAGATGCAGGGAGGAACGGTAGGAACAGAGTCAGAGCCCAGCAAAGAACTGAATTTAAACAGGGCCTCGTATTTATAAGCCAATACGTTTATGTTAGTCACGTGACAAAACAATGTTGTGTTTGCTGTTGCAACTACCACATGTTACACAACACTGGAGGTCAGAAGGACACACTGCTACACTACCAGTAGCCTTTGGGTTTGTCACAATTCCCAGACATTCCCACAACACAGGGAGAGCAATAGGGGTAAAATTGTGATACCAACTGTATCACGCAAACCACCCAACATAATCCTCCTCATGTGAGGACGACACAGCTAATCCTAATCTTCAAAGAATAAAAAAACACACAGCAGGATATAGGATAACCAGGCCATCTAAACAGAGGCCTTCTGTAGACATTGACACTCATTGTCTACTTCTGCATATATACCCCCCCCTATATTTACAACCAGAGGAATTAAAGCTCAGTTTGCTGATGTTTAGTGAGATCTGCCATATAGCCCGGCATCCACACATGCCATCCAGCCTATAGTGCACTAATCAGATAATCTAGATCCTGCTTTTTGGCCTGATAGATTGGACAAACCAGCTCTTTGGAGTGTAATATGGCCACACAATCCCAAGCATCAGCAGCACTTGACCACTGTTGCCTTGGACACACACACTAAGACATCAACACAGTGACAGGAGGAGCAGAGGGCCTCGTTACCAATTCTTTTCCACTTACTCAACTCTCCCATTTTAGTTCTAGAAAACACGAGCGAGCGAGTGGCACAGCTAAAGTGCACCGAGTACAGCACTGAGTTATGTTAAGTTTGTTATTGTAAATGAGCCAAGGCAACTAAAAGCACACACAAGACAAAAAGGTAAAATCACGAGGACCGCTGGTAACAGCTTTATTACAAGATTACATTAAAATACTGTGCCAGGTTTCACTTTATTTCTTGTTCTGTGTCTGTGGCCACGTAGAAAGCTGTAAGTCCTAAAAGCATGTGGATTATTTTTTTGTACCTTAGTTAGTTTCTGGATTATCGTGTGAGCAAACTTGGACAAGAAGTAACATGAAAAATCGCTTAACAAAAAATGAAGCATTAGGACGTTTTAAATCATGTAGCACTAAGACTGTGAACTGTCAATTTTACGCCCATTTTCTAAATACTAAACAGCCCCAGGTCCTGGCAGAGTGAAGTAGGCCTGACTGAGTCACACACACTGTACAAGAGAAGTGTCCTGCCCTGCAGACAGCTGGAGGATTGGACTCACTCCACTTCCTGTACAGCTGCAGGAGAAAACAAGCAAGAGCACAGACAAAAAGGATATAGACAGCTCTCTCAGCACTGAAGTAGGCGAGAGAACTGTCTTAGGTTTGTAGAATTAAAAGAAAACACAACACAAAACTAATACAAAACATTTAAATAGGCAAAAAAACAGCAACACTACATCAAGGCCTCCATTCAAACAAAGTCAGCCACAGAGGATGTATTTGCATGAAGTCAACAGAGATATGCCAGCTCACAGTGAGGAAAATAGCTGCAATTTTCTCTACATGTGTTCCTTTGGATAAATGAAGTGAGAAAGAACAAAGACTGCTATTGTGAGAGGTGGTGTCTCCAGTTAGTTATCTGCAACATCTAACAATATCACTTATTGTAAGTGGCTATTCGAACACAAGTGTAGCTTTATTTTCTGTAACATACTGTGAAATACTATCTTTATCTTCTTGTAGCTATACATTTAGCAAGAGAGGGAAGTTCTGTTATCTCATCGGTGGAGGGGCTCACAGTAGCACAGGGCAAGGCTGCTTTGAGTGCAGGCAGTAACCGCAAAGCATAAACATGAGTTTGCAGTGACCAGTTTGTTAGATCACTGAGAGCCAATACAATCACATTCATCTCCTAGTAAGAGATGTCTTACTAAACAGAGAGCATACAAAATGTTTCTCAAACTTCTACAGTTCAATTATTCAATTTTAAGAAACTCTGAGGATCATCCGGCTCCTGATGGAAAAGTCCTATTTTAAGCACTGCTTGTAGTTTTCCTTCACAGCTCACATGGCAGAGCAGAAAGCAAAATAATTGCTAGATCAACAACATCTGGAATAGGTTTTGTCAGTGTGAATGAGCTTCATTCACAAAGTCCTTCTCTTGAACTAACAGTTCCCTGACTGTTGCCTATACTGTAAAACATGATTTACTCAGCAGATCTCAGAGCAGAGCGAAGCAGACGTGTGAGCAACTGGAAATAAAAGCAGTGACAAATACACCACCAGCTAAGAGGACAGAAGTGCCAAATTGGCACTAAACAAAACCTACAGGCCTTTCTAATTCTTCTACAACACGTGTCGAACCATCACCGGCGTGTTTGGCAGCACCCCACCTCTCGTCAGCAGTCAGGCATGGCTGACAGAGATAAGACTGCTTGACCTTGACTCCTCACCCTTCAGCTTTTCTGCGAAGCCCTTGCTCATGTATACTTATTCTGCCAACCCTGGGATGTCAAGCTTTATTTCTTGACTGACACTACAGGATTGTAGCCTCAGCCTCTCTGCTCACATGGCATCCTAATCTCACACCAGGGAAGCTCTTAATAAAAGAAGCTACAGCCGCCCTATCAAGGGATCTATAGCCAAAGTCATGCAGCACATGGAGACTAACAAAGAGTTTCTCTTCCTCGTGGGAAATTTAAATCCACTTCAGTTCAAACGGTTCCTCTTTGGGAACAAGAACAACTAACCTACTTCTGTTATCATAAAACCTGTTGCCTTCCTGCTGATTCGTGTATCTGCTACTTTGGAGTATCCGTGGACAGAGTTGTTTACCAGTGAGTGAGTGGGCTCTACGCTCAGCCTTGTCCTGGTGTTTGACATTGGAAGGAGAGTCCTTGCTCTTCTCTGGGCTCTGAAACTGCTGTTTTTCCTTCGCCTTGGCCTCCAGGGCTTTTATGCCGAGCTGCAACTGGCTGGTGTACTTCTCATGCTGCACACAGAGACAGGAGGGAAGCAGGATGTGAAAAGCCATCTGCCAACAATCACCACAGATGTAACGTCCTCATACATGTACAATATAAGGAAGAACATCCACCAGGAACCTTTCCTCAGTTTTAGCTCCTATCTCTTATTGATACCAATTACTGCTATTTACAAAAAACGTCCCTTTATTTTAATTCATCTAAAAAACATTTTTTTAAATGCACCTTTCCACCGATAGAGAAGAGTGTTGACATTTAGATGGCACGATTTACATCTTTATTTAAATTTAAATAACAGATAACAAACTCTATATGATGTGTAGATACATAATCATGGAACACATGGAAAAATATGCAAAGGTACTATGAAAGGGGACTAAACAAGACCTGTTTCTGAAGTCAACACACAAAACATCACATTTCAGGTCTCCAATTCAAAGTTAGTATGCAGTTCAGTTTACACCATTAATTAGGCAGTTATTTCAGGAAACCAACCAGTGACAATTTTATGTACGAGTTACCAGTAAAATTAAGTTCACAAGTTAAAGCTTCTGTTTAATCGTTGTAAATTTAAAGCTTTTGTGTTTTTTGACTGTTTGTCAGGCAAGAAAAAAAGAGATTTTAAAGGACGTCAGCAATCATGAGACGCTTCAGTGACTTGGAATGCAATTATTTTTCAACAACAAACATATCACATAAAGAGTAAGTGGTTTATCACTACTAACAGGGACCCATGGCATGCATTTAAGTACTACAAGACTAAAAGAGAAACAGGCTGCCACTGTTACTTACTTTAAGGGCTTCCTCTGGGACCTTGTGCTGACTCCTCTCCAGGATGTACACGTGAGCATGTACAGAGGGAGTTAAAGAACACAAACATACATTTCTGTAACACAATTTGGGATCTAAATTTGGTAACATATATACAGCTCAGCTTTGAGCTGGGGGACACATCAACACAGGGACAACATATACAAACTACACAGACCTAAACTATGGTAAATGTACACTTAGTACTCTTTCACTGAACGTAAGTTTTTGCCTTGTGCCCAACATTTTCTCCACAGAACACACTCCTTGAAACGAGTAAAATCACATGCATACTTCTGGTAACAAGCATTTCAAAATGAGTGTGTACGCTTAACAGTTTACCCTCCGGTTATCTAAATAACATTTCACCATTCATGAGTTTTCTAGTCTGGGGGTCAAAGGGTGCTGGGGGCTTTTCTGTCCACAGTTGACCATAATCTAAAACCCCTGACTGAAAAACCGCAGAGGATTAACATGCCAATGGTGGGACGGACCACAGAGCGGAAAGAAAAGGCAATAAATGTGTGAGTGAAACAGCTGCCAACCGCTGGTTGACTTCAATGTGGTCTGCTGAAGAGCAAAAAGTCTGAATAAAGTAAATTCAATCAAGAGTAAGCCAATGCCACCTCACTAACATCTGAGTACAATTTGAAACGACAAGTATACAAAAAGGATATCATAACCGAAGCGAATGACATCCGACAGCTTGAGGGTGATGTACGTCTGATCAGGAATCCTGAGGTCATTCACAAACGTCTGAAAAACACAGAAAAAACAACATCAAACACATATCATTCTCACTGTTCAGTAGTGACCTCACAGGGGACAGGCTCTTAAATTCCTTGTGGCACGCACCCAGTTTCTGTAAGGTGCTTTGCAATTGGCCCTTTTCCCACTGAAAGTAAATCCAACAGCACATTAAAACTCTGATGAGATTATGTTGTTATGCAACAGCAGTCTTAGCTTTTGTGGAATGCCTTATGACCAGGTAGAAATCAGCGTAGATCGGTTTGGTTAACGTCTGCCTCGACTAACAAATAGTGAGAGGTTTTAGAGTTTATCTTCAGATCACTAAATGGAAAGAACAACAAGGATAACACTGTGCGGAAAAGGCCTGATCTTATTCTACGCAGACTAAACGAAGGTAATTGAGGAAGGATTTCAGTTACAGGTCCTCGTACTGTTCTGCTCTGATTAGTTTGGCTGCGGTTACCAAGGCCAAAAGAAACACTCTCTGAGAACAATGAATGGTTTCTCCCACTGCTCAACTCTGGATTTCATTGGGATAATGGTGCAATGAAGTGGCAACGGAGCAGCAAAGGGAGAGAGAGGGGGAGTTAGACAGAACGAATGGGAAGAAAAGAGGGGTCCATGCCAGGAGGAAAATCCAGTCGCCTGATTGTCACCGTTCCACCAACCGTCTCTGGCTCTCAGAGATTGGATTTGGCGCTCGGGGAATTGTTGCCAACTCAAGATAAGGGCCTTCAGAGAGCCCAGCGGCTTTTGTCACTTTGGCTGGCTGAGGCAGGCAGGTAGTCGGGTGCTACAGATGGACTTACTCACCCCGTTCAAACTACCCAGGTCCTTCACCATGTGCTCGTCTGTGTTTGTGTCGTAGTTGATCACGGCGTGCTGTTTGTCCACACTGCGGGACTGGGAAACAAAAAGCAAAGCAACAGTCAAGCTGAAGTTAATTCTTGATCGGACAAAACAAAACTTTTGAAGACATCATGTTGATTCTGTAATTGCCATTTTTTGACATTCCAGGAAGTGATTAGATTAGATAGAACTTTATTGATCGCTTTGGTAGGGTAACATCAGGGAAATGGTTGTTCTCGCAGCAGCACAACACCAACAAAGACATTAGCACACATCAGTTAAGAAAAAAAGCAGTAAACAAGGAAACAAAGGAAGCAAACTGTTAGATAGGACAGCAGCATGGTGTAATAATAATAATAATGATAATGATAATTATAATGATAACTGAACGATTAATTGAGAACATTTCTGTAGATTATTTGATAATAACAATAATGGTAAGTGTCAGGCCTAAATGTCATGAAGCAGTGCAGTAGATAGAACCAGTAGATGGTTCTCATGGACCACACTGTACTCACAGGGCTTAAGTCTTGGTGCACATACCTTCTCTCAAAATATGCTTTCATCAATTAAGTGCAGACTGAGTAAGTGATTCCGACTGACTGACTCACTCTCTCTTCTCTGCTCATTAGGCACTCTGGGCCTCTTGGTCACAGAAATCACAAAGACAAAAGATGAATGCCAAACTCATTTGTAAAAATTAGCGCTGTTTTCCAAGGGAGCATTTCTAGGCTTGTCATAAACTCTTCTACAGCAGCCGCTAATGGGGATAAAACACATTTAGAGGCTGTGTGAGGTGTCCGTGTTGACCAGTCCACTTCGAGATAACTTCTTGTAAATACAGTAATGTCTAAAGTGGTGGGTTTATCAATTAGATTACGTGATCAGTTTAACGGTACGGGCCGCAGCAGCGCAAAGAATTCCACATTCCTCAGCTTCACTTTGCTCCCCTTATCATAGAGAAAATGTGAGCTCTGGCACTAAGAAACAATAAACACACTCTGCTGGACTACAAAGACAATGGCGTTGCTATTATTGTAGTAGGCACATGGTCTAATTATTGCTCATGGAGATGGAGGCAGTGACCAAACAGCAGTTGTCATAGAAAGTCCAAACATCACAGGCAAGGCCCTCAACTGTGCGACATGATAAGAATTCTCTGCCTTTCACGCCAAACAGGATTCTCACGTTACAGACTTTCGGCTGTGATGTGAATGGAAAAAAATGCATCGAGCCATCCACCAAAAAACCCCAAAACGTTCAAGGGTCAAAGACAATTTGGGGCAGAAACTGACTGTGTGCCAAGTCAGGAAGCCGTCCTGAGCACTTAAGCTGAGCAATAGAGAAGTCTGCATCATTTCAGACTGGGAGAAGCTGAGGTTTTCCTTGGATCAGGCGACGCCTAAATGTGGACATGAGCAACTTTTAAATCTAGCCGTCTTTTGTGGTTAGCAGGGCTTTTCTGAGCAGAACACACCAACTAAGGAAAGTATACACAACTGCAAAGGCAACATTCTTCCCTCACTGGTCTAAATACAGACAGAGAAGAAAATGTGAGGGAGAATATTACACAAAGACCACAAAGAAATTGTGTTTATAAGAGACAGAGCATGAAAAAACACCACAGCGGAATGCTTCAGCTGGCTTTAAAGTCATTGTGTAGAAGGCTGTCAGAGACAACTATGTGTGTAGGCACTGTCACCAGGTTACACACTCAAAAATGTACCCACACAAAGCATGCGAGGAGCCTCCCACTGGTTTTTTAACATATTTATGAGACTAGCTGTCCTGTCAGACATCTGACTGCAGAGTAATGCTACGTTTGCCGAGCGTCTTTCGCAGGTCACAGCGAAGGCCACTTAGGACTTAGGTGACACTCTGCTGGGTGTTTGCTGTGCACACGTGAACTTCACAAAAACCAAGCTCACCTGTAGCATTAGCTCGCAATCATCCCGGCCGACAAAGATCATCTCCCGTGGCAACCTGTGGCGTGTGCCAGAGCTGCTGACCAGAAACCATGATGTCACACTCATGTTGGGGCCCCGAGTCAAGATCTTCTTAGCATCCTGGGAGAACACAAAGTCTATTAAAGGTGGGTCAAAATTCAAAACAGGTGAGTTTGAACAATGCAGGATCCTAAGAGATTACTGAGAGGAAGTTATAATGTCACCTGACTTAGGCCTGTTTATACAACCCATTCCAGTGTCGTGCCAAAAACCACATTGCGTAATTAATATACGTCTCCCGTCTGCTCCAACAATTATGACGCGCAAATACAAATAGCTTTATGTCTGTAACAACAGCAAAGGTGTGTCTTATAGAAACTGTACCGTTTCTTGAAACTGAATAATTGTGACCAGTTAAATGCAGTTTATAGATCATCAGACCTGACTTTTAGGATGATTACAGGCAATTGTGCTTGGAATACTTGGTCTGTATGTGTTTGGTCTGTCATACATCCTTCCTTAGACTGTATATAAAATAACTTAGCCTATAAAGTTTTAAATACGGGTGCACGATATATCGGCGACGACATCAGTATCGGCCGATATTAGTGTTTTTTACCGTATATCGGTATCGGTCCGATGAACAAATTTACCCGACGATTGTCTAATGTCAGCGCCTTCGTCTCTACATTTGATATTGCTGCTATTTCACAGATGTTTTTACTTAAATGGTCCTGGACTTGGGCTGCAAGGTGGCACCTTTGCCTCGCAGCTAGAAGGTCGCCGATTCGCGTCCCGGTGAGGACACCAGGATCTTTCTGCATGGAGTTTGCATGTTCTCCCCGAGCAGCGTGGGTTCTCTCCGGGTTCTCCGGCTTCCTCCCACAAGTCCAAAAACATGTTGAGGTTAATTGGTGATTCTAAATTGTCCGTAGGTGTGAATGTGAGTGTGCTTGGTTGTCTGTCTCTAAGTGTAGCCCTGTGATAGACTGGTGACCTGTCCAGGGTGTCTCCTGCCTTCAATCTGAGTCAGCTGGGATAGACTTCAGCCCCCCATGACCCTAGTGAGGATTAAGTAGTGTATAGATAATGGATGGATGGTCCTGGACTTAAATATATTAAAATATGTTTTACTTTTGTTACGTAATAAAGAAGACTATGTGGTCTAATTGGGCTTCTTCTGAATAGTTTCTCACAGTGCTTACTTGTACTCATTTCTCGAAATCGAATGTCGACATCGGTAATATCATAAATCTTAATATCAGGTATCGGCCAGAAATTGTCATATTGTGCATCACTAGTTTTAACCTTATGAATGAAATCAAGTCATTTTGTTGCATTATTAACATTACAGCCACTGTTTAGAGGCTTTCTGGCTAGTGGAAAACTGCATAATATGAGTTGAAGTGGTCTTTTAAAGCAATGACAACAGGTACAAACACCTGGAACTGGTATAACACAGGACACGGAGCAGGTAAAATAAAGCAGAGACATAAGGGCAGCTGTCTGGCTGTCTTAGTATTGAGGAAATGAATTTATATAACTATGAACATATTTTAAAGCAGGTTTCCATGTGTCAGAAGAGGACGTAAAGTATGTTCACGACTGGAGACATTACTAAATAGAAAAACTTATTTCTCTGCTGTGTGTTTCATTAAGCATGCTGGGAAACCTGTTGCTAGTGTCTCGGTTAGCTAACAACACAAAGTTCTGGAGCAGGTTTTACTTCCTGTAACCTTGACTAACTAATTATTACAAACACTATTAGCCGCTCTTTATACCTTTAATTACTAACTGTTAATTATCTCGTAAAGGTTTGTTCTTTTTTTTAGTGACGCCGGCGACCGTTGGGGTGTGTGAGCTTGTTTAGCTAACGTCGCCGAGCCTCCGGTTAAAACGAGCTTTCTCGGAGGATTTTCTCTCAACAACGACTCACCTTTAACGCCTTCTCCGTCTTACTCCTGAGTGAAGCCAGTGTTCAGCGTCCGACAAGCGGCGGGGGAAAAAACACCAAGTCGACGACCCTGACAAGGAGTTCCAGCAAACGCCCCAGGTAGAAACCAAGCGGCCAGGTAAGGGAGGCTCACACCCTCTT